CCCACGGCGAATGCGTCGGCGGCGATGCATCGGCGACGGGGCGCGGCCCTCAGACCCCTTTGGGGGGCCCAGGGGCCGCACGGCAGAAGTCAGGGCGGGAGGCGTCTCTCGTCGCCATGCTCCATGCGCGCAGGCGTCCGCGGCGGTGCCCCCCCCCCCCGCGCCCCGCCTCGTCGTGGCGAGCGTCCCTCGAGGGCGAAAGGCGCATCCGTGTGCGCGGCCTCGCGGCCCGGGGCGTCGTTTCGCGGAGGCCCCGCGCGGAACGGAGCCTGAAGTCGGGCGTGTCTTTCTACATGAGGAGCATGCAGAACTAGCAAAGCAAGCATCAAGTAATAGTCTGGGCACGAATTCCTGATCATGTTCGGACTATTGCTGACCATTTTTTGAACTTTGCTTCGTCCAAAAACCGCCTTGGACACGCCCGACCTAAACGTAGCCGTGCCATCGCGTATCCGCGGGAGCGCGCCCCGGAGTCCAGACCGCGACCGTGAGTGCGCAGCATTGATATCGTCACCGTTCGTGGAACCTCAGGGGGGGGGATGGGCTCAGGGGGGAGCTGCGAGGTGGGCGGTCTGCGGGGTCGTAGTTCGAGATGTGCTGTCGTTGTCGTCGGTCCTCGGCGGTTTGCCAGCCTGGGGATGCTGCCCATCAGCTGCGCCTCGCCGAGAGCGTTCTGGGGGTGCCCGGACCGTGCCGAAGGGGCGCCGGAGGCCCGAGACGTGGACAGAAAGCCACCGGGCGACAGACGCGAGACGGGGGCGATGCCCACATCGTTAGAGCCATGCCCAGCCCTTGTTTGGACAGGGCAGGCGAGCTCTCGCAGCGTACGGACAGACCGCATGGTGAGGATGAGCAACTGCTATCTGAGGTTACCTTCGGCCCCTCCTTGTCCGCTTTCGCCTGCCGCACCCCACCCCCGACGCACCGACATGGCCTTCGCCTTCCAGGGCCTTGGCATCCTTCTCGCGCGTCCTTCTGAGACGGGCTGACTGTAGCCTCTCCAGGTGCCACCTGGGGGGTGGGTAATTCGGTCAGCGGGGCCGCAATTTCCCCAGTCGGGTTCGGTTGCTCAAAAGCTCTCCGCACCTGCCCCGGGCCTGGCCGGCAGTCCTGGGGCCAGCATCGGTGTGCAAGCCTTCCCGGCCAAGCCAGGAGCACATAGTCCGGACTAATGCGCAGATTTTCCACCACCACTACCAGAGGAGAGGATGAGGAGGTCCTCCTGCTCCTCCTTCTCCTCCCCCTCCTCCTCCTCCTCCTCCTCCTCCTCCTCCTCCTCCTCCTCCTCCTCCTCCTCCTCCTCCTCCTCCCCTTCTTCCTCCTCCTCCTCCTCGTCGTCCTCCTCCTGCATATGGTAGTGGTGGTGGAACATGGGCTCATCGTGGACGCCAACATATGGACCACTTCGGGCTCCAGAGGGGCTCGGGTTGCACGGGCCGTCCTTCGATCGAGGCTGTGGGACCTGCCCGCGGCCGAGGCTCGCCGCTGCCGAAGAGCCCCGTTCGTGTTCCTTGTTCAGCGTGTTTTGCGGCAGCACGGGGGCTGTTGGCGCCATCCTCTGCCCAGGTGTGGCCTGGCCAGGATCGGTGCAGGTGTATAGCTGTCAAGCAGTAGTGAAGCGCCCCGGCTTGCCGGAAGGCCCACCAGATAATGTTCTGAGAACCTTGTTGTGGGTTGCACGAGATGTTCTTAGAACATGTCGGTCCGAGCTTGTCTTGCTCTAACACATCGGGCCCATGTTCTGAGAACATCGCTGTTGTTCTCAGAACTGTTTGGGGTTCTAATACAATTTCGTGGTGGGCCTATAGGAATGCCGGGACGGTCGGTGCCGGCTCAATGTTGGCGCCCTCCTGCAGGTGCAGTTTTCGCGGCCGCCGACGCTGGCGCAGGACCCAGACATCTGGCGGCCCGCGAGCATCGAAGCGGTCCAATTTTCCTTAATGTCTCAGGTCATGCACTCGGATGGTTTCCTCCGGGGGCGTTTCTCGGAGGGCCTCGATGGAAACAGCACGTCGTTTGGTCGGCGCGGGAGCCAAGGAATTCGGCGAACGAGTCTGGTGTATATAGATCAAGGGTGGAAAACCCACCCGGACCCGACAATTGGCGTTTACTAAACGGCCTTGGGTGTTTACTAAACAGCTCGCCCCTGCTTGATTCCTTCTTTGAGTGCGTTCACTAAACGGCCTCGCGTGTCGGTGTGGTTATTATCGGGGTGGATGCTCTGCCCTCTAATAGACGCTCATCTGCCCCACAAGTGGGGCAGCTGGTGTGCCCATACACTGCCCTCCTTGGTCAACCAGGCGACGTGGGGCATGCACCGAGCCCCTCCCCAGTTTTGCTTGGGCCCCTGTGGCTACGGCTGGGCGCCCCTGGAGAAACTGCCCAGGGTGGACCCCGGGGAGGGATCCTGGCACCGAGTGTATCCATTCTGCATCGGTGGGACCTAATTATCTCAGGAGGGAACAAAACACACACAGACCCAATTCATCGTCGATTGTCA